AATCCGTGTGCAGACGCGAGAATGGTTCCAGCAGCCGCGCGATGCCAGAGAGCGGCTGCTGGAACGAACCCAGCATACCACGACCCCTCGATCTCCACCGACCGAGCGGCCTCGGACCTGCAGCTCATGGAAAAAAGAGTTCGGTCGCGCTGGCTTCCTCAATCCTGCGGATTGCGCGTGCCCGCGTCAACGAGGGAAGACACCTGGACGTCTCAAGGTCGTTGTGGCGCTCGCAGCTAGCCGCTCGTTTCGCGCTTTTTGAGGATTATCCCTACAGAAAACGCCGACACAATCACGTGACGGCCTCTGCCGTCACGTGATTTTTGGGAGAGGGTGAAAAGAGGAGGGCGCGAGGGGCATTTTCCTACCTTGCGGAAAATGGTTTCGTTGGTCGGTAAATACTGTTCGTGAGAGCATAGCGCATTCAGGTGAAGTGGGATTCCAGAATTCTACGGGTGTTAACTGCGACCATTTTAGGGCGCTGTTAGAATTTTGCTTGCAGTTCACGGCAGTTGTTTTTAATGAACAGTTCTACGTACAAAAGATTGGTATTTTTATTGGTTCTTCAGTGGCACCTTTTTTTGTGTGTCATTTATCTTTCTGCCATGGACAAGCGCACATCGGGGGCTCTTGACGGGGTGAATGTGATCAAGATCTTCCGCTATGTGGATGATTTTTTGGTTATTTTGGGGGAATGTACAGCGAATTGTATGGAAAATGACGTGGCAGAAATTGTTAATCTGTTTATATCACTGTCCGGTGGACTAAACTTCACTTGGGAAATGCCTAATCATGGCAGTATTTAGACTCTAGAATTGCAGCTCTTTTTTTTACTAAGAATCCTTTGTGCTGGAGCTATAATCCACAAACTAAAAAAGGCCTTTCATTTAGCACTGCCCACTCAAAGCTTGTAAAACGTGGGATTGGATTCACCTCCCTTCACGCAGCCATCACAAAAAGCTGCAAGCATAGACAGCCGGTCAGTTTTGATCACCAGGTTGAACGCTTGACGAGTGCCGGTTGCCCGAAGAGCTTAGTGACAGATGTGTGTGAAAGGCTCCTACAGAAAATCAAACGAGAGGGCGTTGACAAATGTCGTGAAAACACAGACAAGATTCCAGTGCAGGTGATACCATATTTGCACAGAGTGTCCCACAATTTGAAAAAAAAGATGGCTGTTAGACACAGGGTTAACGTAGTATTCTCAACCCCGTGCAAACTTTTAAAGATATGCTCCGCGATTTCAAAACAAAAGTCTGTAAGGCCCGCAAAAAAAAAAACAAAAAAAACAAACAAACAACAACATGTAACAAGATACACTGAATGCGTGACTAAGGTGGTTTATGAGATTCCCTTTAGTTGTGGCCAAGTTTACATCAATCAGACCGGCTGATGCTGAGAGCGCTGAGAGCGCGAAACACAAGTTTACCACACGCAATAATTCGGGTGGTCATCGCACTGGAAATAATGTGGGTGGAAACCTTTGTTAGAGCACACAAGGTTTAGTAATGAAGGAAACGAGAAGATGGAAAGATAAGTGTTTAGGCGATTCGGATCGACTGTTTGACGATGATTCGTGTTTCATTAAATCAGTTGGAAGTTGGCGCCTGTCCGTGTCGTACGTGTCTTTTTTCGTCCTGTTTTGTTCGCGCCTTTTAACCTGGTAAACAATAACTACAATGTACTCTCAAGTAAAGGACTTTTTAACGCAATCCTTCATGGTGCCCTTTCATTCCCCTATAGAGTGCCTTCTTGTTTTTATAATTGGTACGCATTGTTTTAACGGTAATCTGGGGTACATATTTTCGGAAATGGTGGCGAATATTGGATAAAGTCAAGTGGCCAAAGAACCAAAGAAGAGTAGTTTTACTGTCGCTGGTGGCTGACGAGATATTTAACAATCAGATACTTATAAAAGGGTCGGAGTCGGTCGGTCCGTCGGGTCAGTGTAGGCGAGATTATGGCTTTGAAGCTAGCTTTCGCTCGAAGCAGTAACGCGACCGACTGCCATGGTTCACACCCGAGAGCTTGTTAGACTTTCTATTCCGTACTTTTGGTGTAGGGCTTTAGGCTGCTGAAGACACCCTCCCTTCGCATCTACGGCGGAGGGTGTCATTGGAACCCTGGACACTCCGGAGTCTCGAGATACTACTTCGCGGTCGGACAAAGTACGGCCAACCGAATCGGTTGCCGTAAGGACCAATCGGGTGACATTTTCAAACTGATTTATTTCTTGCGATCAATCAAACAGGTATACACTCCACGCTATAATTAGGAATGTGTGAGAGAGAACCAGATCGGAGTTTATTGTTTCGCGTATACGCCTCGGTAGAGTGGTAGGTGTACACTCGTGTCAACATCATTCACTCACGGAATGTATTGGTTCATAACATGCTTTCGCGGGCGCCGTGGCCGCATTGCACGCGCATCCCGAGAAACGCCGACGGCACGAGCAGGTGCTCGGCGACGGTTCGCGGCGCGTGCAACGGAACCGCGTCGCCTCGATATAAAATCACAATTGCCACTTAAAAAAGGAGCTAACAAGTCGCCGGGGGACCGTCGCGGGACGCGCGGAGCCAAGAAGCGCGACGTATACCAACCGGGGAGAACTGGGAGGGGGGAAAAGGAGACATCGTCGTCCAAACGTCGCGAAAAAAAAAACGAGCTACTTTCTTCGACGGGTCTGTTGTATACCTTGCCATTCCAAGAAGCCCTCCTTCAAAAACACCGCCAAAGGAAAAAAAAAAAAAAAAGTCCACGCCGCTCAAGTGCGGCGGTTGGCGATGCAAAATCCGTTCGCGGTAAACCGAACGGGCTCAGCCCACACGTTGACTGCCCGGGGGCCCGTTTCCTGAAGTAGTGGCAATAATACAAAAAGACAAATGAGAGACCTTCTCAACGAACACTGCAGTGAGGGAGAGACGCACACGCAACGTTGTGCACGCGCGTTTGAAACAAGAACTGTCGTAGCGGGTCGTGTATCCGATGATGCGTGTACTCGCTCCACGGATCAATGCGTCGTGTTTTCGGGAGAAAACGCGAGCAATCGTTCCAGCCTCGAAAAAAGAAAGAAAAAAAAAATACCGTGGTTCCGTAACGTCCACCCAAGTCACAACCGTAGTATATACTGCAACCCATTAAGAAGACGCCTTTCTTCGTCCTATATTTAAATACTTTTTTTCTTATGCCCCTCACCCCGCCTTTTTGTTGCGTTAACTTTCTTTATCTCTTTCTTGGTAAGTTTAAAAAAAAAAAAAAAAAAGCTGGGGAGGAAGTTCTACAAGAACGAATTGTGCATCCCTTATGTTCCCCAGTTCTTGCTCCTTTTGGTGGGGAGAGAGAAGAGGCGTGAGCTGGTAGTTTTAATCGCGCCGATTGCAGGGAGGGCATTCCAACATCGCCGGCCGCTCGCATCTTATTCGAGTCGATTTAGGGAGGACAAATATGTAAGCTACATGATAGTACAGCTGCACATTTTGGGAGGTTTGGTGTGGGTCTGTGCGATACGAACTTTGTTTGTTTTTTTGCTCGTTACCTTTCGGTGCTTGTCGGGTAAGTGGCGAGATTAAATGCGAACGACCAGTGAATCGTTGCCATCCAAACGTATTAGCGACGAATAAGAAAAAAAAAAAAAAAAAATTCCACCGGTATTGCGGTCGAGCCTTTTAGCTTGCTTAGTGTGCTCCCTGCATAGCCATTTTTTTCCCCCTCTTCGAGACATACTACGTATTACGACGATGAAGCGTACGTTACAATAGTAATCAACATTTGATAGTTTTTTTCTTTTAAACACGCTTTCTTTGGCTTGCATTCAATTTATTATCAACCTCCTTAAATTAGACACAGTCGGCGAGATGCGGGGAACATCACCACAACTCTGAGCATCTCGACGAGCGTCTGGTATACGCTCGGGGGAAGACGCTGAGAAAACACAATCTCAAGCTTCCTCCTTTAGGATCTTTCTGCAGGCTGCTGTATTCCCGTTTTTGTTCTAGAACCAAGTACGAAATGCCGAGCGCTGCCGCAGGGAGCACCCTAAAAGAAACGCTCACCAGTCGAAGTCGCGCGCGTCGTAACCAAAAACAGGGATGGGCCCGATAGGCAGAGGGGATCTTCAAGGCGGGATCCACGAAGAACGGGATATCTCGGGAAAACATGAGACGCAAATCGAGGCCCAAGAAAACCTAGAAGGGTGTGAAAGAACCCACTGGTGACAAGCGTGCGATATAAAAAAACCAAACGGCGAAGCAAATATTTTGACGGGAAGTGGTAACCAGACAACCGCCGCTAGCCGTGCACCGCCCAACGAGTCAATTTACGCTCACCTGGTAGACAAAAAAGGTACCGAAACTAGTCTTGTACGCGCTGACACTTGTTCCGTCTTTGTCTGCCTTTATACCTAAAGCTTCAGAAGCTCTGGCAATGGCACAGCGGCTCAAATACTGGCGAACGGAAGCATCCTCCCAAAGCAAACGCACAGAAGATAACCTGCATTGCCCTCGCCTACATTGCCACTTTGATTTGCCACTTTGAGAAGATAACCGACTGATTTCTGCTTTCCTCGTGTGCCAAGTTTTCATTTGCCATGTATCTCGGCTAAGCATCCGTGGGAAGGCCACGACAGATGTTTCTTCTCCTTGTCCTGCGCGCCTGATTTCGAAGATGGTAACGAAACGCCGACCGACCAGCTCGTACCGTAATTTCTGCGTCGTCGAATTCGCACACCAAGCCGTTTGAGGAGCCCTTGTCTCCGCCTAATTACACCCTTTATAGGAAATGTATTCAATCAATGCCTTTCAGAACACACGTAAGTTCGCGGTGCTGAATGGCCCGATGTCTCGAGGTAGGGCACACGCGTATAGCATGACAGGCTTATGTCGTGGTGCCATTAAGGGAGACAAAGTTTATGGTACATATACATCTAGAAGTCGGCTTGTTTTGAAATGGCTGATTTTGTGTGTCTGGGGTTTCAGCCGCTGCGGTAGGACTATTCTCCCGTATTTTTTTTTTTTTAACTTGCACAATTGACACGAATGAGTGTGTCCCGTGGGGCATATCCGCTCCCTTACGATGCTGCGTGAGCAAACGTGCGTCCAACACAACCGGAAAAAAGTGCCGCCTCTTCTGGGCCCGGAGCACTTCTACCAGGATCCACACCTTTTGCATGTCGGTAAGATTATACAACAAGAAAGAGTGATTTTGGTGGTCTAGAGCAGCACTCGCACTGCGAATACAACACACAAAAGACAGTTTGCAGGCGTTGTCTGAGTCGGGTTTCTTTCACGTTTGACGTGCCATCGGCCATACACAAGCTGTCTGTAGACACGGTCGAAGCGCACGTGTGTACGAAGCAAAGGCGCTTCGAATACGCTTGAGGTGTGTCCGCAGGTGTATTTTGCATGATGTACAAGCAGTATGACTGCGGCTTAAGGGTACACTAAGAGCACAATCCTTCGTGCTGAGTCGACGCCAAGTTACCAGACAGCCAAGAAAGACGTCAGCGCTGGAAGCAGCACTTCTGCTTCACCCGCGGAGGTGAAGTCCGTTTCAGCGCGTAACAGTAACGACGTCTAGGCGGCGGTTGTCCGGCTACGGGAGCATTCATCGGGACGCGAAGGGGAAGGATGTCATTCTGGGGTGAAAGGAGTAGCACGGGGTCAACAGGCGGATTCTGGCAGTGATGATCTCTGGCTCGGCCAGTGCTTGGAGTCGCCCTGCTCTGCCACGGTCGATGCGGCCGACGTGACCACCGAAGATGCCGTCGAAGGCGTCGACGTCGGCGCCGCCGAGGACACCGCCGTCCCCGCGGAAGCCGTGCCCACGACGCACGATGCCGACGGAGAGGACGACAAGGCCCCGGAGCCCATCTTGTCCGCCCCGGAAGAGAGCAGCGACATGGAGGCGCCTCCCGGCACCGCCGATGCCCCGGGACCGAGGCCCTGGCTCAGGTCCGAGGCGCTGGGCATCACGAATGCGGCTGCGGACACGGGAGATTCGGTGCAGGGGTCAGCGACTTGCGAGACGTGGGTCCAAACACTAAAATCTTACGGACAATCGAGAGCCTGCCCTCCCTTTGCTAGCCGCGCTTACTGCCTTTCTAAGTGGACCAAGAGCAGATATTACCTCGCGCCCGTACGTATAAGACCACTCGAGAAGGATGACAAAAGATGCAGCACGCGGTTAAACAAAAGAAAGCTAAAAATGGGCAGTACTTTGGTCATACCCGAATAAATCTTCATACGTAAAAAACGAGTCTGGGTCGCTAAACCTCGGTGAAATAGTCGTTTATGTACCGAGACTCATACCGCGACCTCCAACAAGAACGCCATTGGTTGTCACATCATCGCACGTGCCAGCCAATGAAACGTACATTTTACAGGCGCGGTGTAGGGCATATAGTTCTGCCCTACACCGTATTCTACGTTAAAGCGCCGTACAATAAAACAGCGCGGTCGATCCGGCACGCACAAACCAACACGTCTTCGTGGACTCCTTGATGCCTATAGCCAAGGAGACACTATTTTCTGCAAAGGCTGACTCTGCAAAGGCGCAGCTGCTCACCCCTGTTGAGTGGCCAGATGTCGAGCAGGTAGGCGAACACCTCGATGGGCCTCCGGAGGTCGGCGACTGGAGCGCCGCTCTCGGCGTGGCACACCACCACGGGGCCGAAGCATTGGGCAAGGGCGAGGGAACCCATCTTGTTGCGGTCACTGCGGCTGCTCACCAGCTTCAGGTGGTCCAGCAGGAACAGCGCCGTGCACTGCCAACGAGGACCGAGACGGTCACGTGACCACACGCATTCGCAGTAAACTCTTCCCACTGCTCTCCACCTTAGAAGAGAGAACGCTGGAGAGAAGGCGACCTCCTCTCCAGCGTTCGCTCTGCTAAGTTGGAATGAGGTGGGAGCAGTTTCCCTTGAACGCTTAATTTGTCCCAGACTATAAGCACAAAGAAAACATCGAAAGCTAAAAATCTGAGATCGTTGCTTTAGGAAATGCATAGCTGCACAAATACCTAAAGAAAAAAAAAAAGAAAGAAGAAGTAAACAATTTGGATTATTTGCTCGCGCTTGTCGACCTTTGCAGAACAAGCTAGGGATGTGCTGTGTCTCCTGCCGATCACGGACAGGTTCGCGGACGGTTTTCCCTCCTTACGGACGATACTTTAAGTGACTACATCTCGGCTTAAGATGTATAAAAGCTCTCACTACCAGTGGCGTAGCCAGGCATTTTTTTCGGTGGAAGGGGGCTGATGTGGCTGGGATGTCCATGACTTGGGGTGCGGAGAATTCTGCTCACTACAATTCCATTCTTAAAAAAAAGTGGGAGTGTTTTGACTCTACAAAGTGGGATTCGCACACACACTGCTCCACCAATGACCCTTGGCTGTCGCACTCACCCGATTAACCTTGGGCAGGCAGTCTAGGATGCTAAGCATAAGCTTGGCATTGCCGTCCGGATCGTCTGGCAGGCACACGCTCAGGCCGTCCACCAGCATGTCGAACAGGCCCTTGGTGAACAGCGGCTCCGGGAGCTCGCGGAGGTAATCTTTCAGCAGACCTAGAGAGAAGGGGACACCCATTTTAACCCAAAAATAGTTAACGCTACCGCATCAATGCAACAGCGGGCCCCATATCTTTTGAGGTTCAAGAAGTCTGCTCATGTACTTCTGTGCACTGAAGTTCTCAAGTAAGACAACCGACGCGGTATGGCAAGCTTAGTGCCACTAAATAAGCTACGCTTCAGAGTAACGACACTTAGCCATATTGTGTCTTAAAATCATGGTTGCCAGTTATCTGAAGCTTTATCTGAAATTACAGGAAACGCTTTTCCGTCGTTCACAAATGTTTAAACAGTTCGCGACAGAGTGAAGCAATATAACATTACCTGCTAACACCAAATATAATGCTGAGGAAGTCGCACTTTTGAATCATGACAATCGGAAGTTGCGTCTGCTCTGCATACGAGCCAAAATGGCGACGCCCACAATAATGTCAGGGAACGGAGTGCCGTTACTCAAAGCGCAGCTCATTTAGTGGCACTAGGCGAGCTTATTGAGCTGGAACAAAATGGAGGTTAGTTCTGCTGCTGTTCGCCGCCATTCGCTTCCTAAATATTGCACCGACACGCAGTGAACGCTTCAAGGAACGGTGTTACTTGTAGGAAACAAAATGTGCACCTTTTGTCGAGGAACAGTACTACACATCTGTCCAACGCTTTTTGCATCCCCAAACTGCTGACTCACTCGGCCGATGCGCGGCGTCTGCTGTTTTTTCGCAAGAGGTCAACTGAGCGTACTAAAAAGGCGTTTCACGGCCCAGTGGATAGCGGCGTGCAGAAGGCGATTATTATCTATAATAGCTTTGGACACGAGAGCCCTGAGTAAAGCTTGCAGTGCTTGATACTTCCAAATGCGGGAAATCTGAGTGTGGAAGCCGATAAATATTAATGGACGGTGTATTTGCCACTTCTTTAATTGCCAAGGAAGAACAACGCCTTCTAGCAGCTAAGCCGTACTGAAATAACCTGTTTGCGACAGAGAGGAGATAATGTTACATAGAATTGTTAATGAGGACTGTGGCATTAAGCGCACTATATACATTTCCTTTTCTACTACCTCATGCACTAGGCGACCTCATCATTTAAACGATGTTCTGTCATCTCAATTTCATCATTGTTTTAAAAATTGATTCTTTCCACGTACGGTTGAGGTGTGGAATAACGTCGGCAGGCCTACGTGCATGTTTGCATACACTGTGATTTTATTTCAGCAATTACGTCTCTTTCTTCATCTTAATGTGCGGTGGTATTGAAATGTTATTTTCTAGGCTGTTTTTGTAGCGTGAGCTACACTGGCCGAGGTTGAGCAGTTTCACGTGGCTCGCAAAATGAGCCGTGCTGCGCAAGCGCGAGGAGCAGTGACGTCACACGGCGCACAGCTGGTGGGACGGAGCCGTCGTCGCCGCGGGCTCCGCCGCTACCGCGCGCGCCTCGCCGGTCTGCGCAAGCGCAAGGAGAAGTGACGTCACTCGGCGCACAGCTGGCGTGCCGGAGCCGCCGCCCCCGCGGGCTCCGCCGCCTCCGCGCGCACCTCGGCGGTCTTCGTATTCCAAAGGAGTGACGTCATAGCCGCGGCAGACGCACTGGCGCTGCCGCCTGCCCAGCTGCGTGCCTCCGTTGCGCACTAGCCAAGTCTGACGCTGCACCGGAGCTGCTTGATAGAGCCTCTCATTTTGTGTGCATAAGCTCACGCTACGTATATCCTGGCATAGCCGAGCTAATCCACCGCATTTTTTTTGTTGTTATTTTACCAATTATTACTGTGAGCCCTTGTATCTGCACAGAGGCTCCCAGCAGGTGTGGTGTCGCGGTATGTGCAAATAAAAGACGCCCGCAAGAAGAAAGGTGAGCTCACTGGTGACCACGTTGATGTCCGGCACCTGCTCGGCCGACAGGTCCACCTTCCAGGCGCCCGTGGCGCAGCTTCGTTCAATGGCCTCGCGCAGCATCCGCTTGCGCACGGCCGAGCCGCACAGCCGGTAGATGCCCACGATGTCCAGACCGCGGGCCTCCACCTGGGAGAGGCACGGGTCAGCGATCGGCAGCTTGCGTAATCGTATTGCGTGTAAGGTTGAACAGCCGCATGTTAGTCAGCTTCAAGGGACGTCGCATGTCTCCGCTGTAGATAAGAGCCTGTGCGGTGTCACAGAAGGACAATGCCTTGGCGATCATTTGATTAGCATCTATAAGAAATACGTCTACCGTAACGTCTCAAATTAACACCATCTACGTTGAACGGATAAAAGAAAAAAAAAATCTTGCGAATGAACTGTGGCGACAGCAAAAGCGTTACATGCACACAAAGGCACACTCCACACGAACCACAGCATCATGGGACGTCAGTGTCACGTGCCGTGACATCACGATTACAGGTCATGGTGTCACGTGACAAGGCACTATGACGTCTATGACACTGCGACGTTGTGGAGTCATGCGACGTCACATTGTCGTGTGATGTCATACGTGACCGTGACGTCTTGTGAAGCAATTTCTTCACGACGATTCTACAGGAAACAACCGTTTTTTGCTGTAGGGTTGTCGTGCTGCAACAACACAAGGTGGGCGATCTTTCGGGGATCGGGAATTTTCCGGCAAGAGAGAGAGAGCCTTACCTGCTGCACACATCGCTGCACGATGAGCGGCACGGGGCCCTTCTCCCGGGCCACGAGGGCGTCGAGGGGCGCCCCGAACATGCCCCCGGCGTAGTTGGGGCTCCGCTGGAAGGTGTGGCGGGGGTCCCTGTAGCGGAGCTTGAGGTACAGCGCCCCGCGGGGCTCCAGCCGCAGGGCCAGGCTGTGTGCGGGCGCCTCGCGCAGCGCCGACAGCAGCTGCACCGTGCCCTTGTAGCACAACTTGTGGCGAGACTGGGGGTCCCAGCTGTACAGCAGGAACGCCACCGTGCGGTTGTCCACCAGGTCCAGCTCGAACACCTGCGCCGGAGGTCAGTGAAACATCGCGGTTGAGAGGAGAGGTAAAGCGGCAGAGGAGGAAATGTGGTATGCGGGTAATGCGACCGAATGGTGAGTTGAACTAGTTGCTTCATTACACTCTAAAAGCGCCCCAAGACAGGGGCAGAGTAAATGCTGCACGGAAAACAAAGTTGGAGATTTAGCGAGGGCCTTCGGCTGCACAATTTAGCGTCTTGCTAGAGAAAGTATACACGACGATTCTGGAGGGAGTCAGGACGGGATCATTGCAAACTAAGATCTACTTCCACGGACAGTATGAGCTGGAACACCCGATCAGGCCTTGTTCTTCGTCTGCAGTTCCCACAAGCTTCATTATCGCCCAATTTGCCAAAAAAGATCAAAGTACGGGACCTCACCTTCACATTCCATTCCTAGTTTAGAGCACGGCTCTCTCAAAGGCTGGCACGTACGCCAACGAAGCATGAATGACTGCTTTAGCTCATATTGTCCGCGATAGTGCAGATGTACAGAGCGAAATATCAGGATAGAGTGTGTGGGGCGTGTGGAGCTGAGGAGGTGGCTTAGCTTGATACCCTATTGTAAAGGGTTTCACCCTGCAGTTGCCGAAGGAGAGATTAATTCACTGAAGGCATTAGGACAATGAGAGAAAGGTGGAGATGAGCATGCAGAGGGTGACTGACTGGTGTCATAAGTCGAGGGAAGAATACATGAACGCCCTTATCATGAATACATGGTAAGGGCGCAAACGAGCTGGTGGTGGTTAAACATTTCGACAAAAACCCCGAGACTGGGACAAAAAGGGACGGACAAACACAAAGTCTCAAAACTTGAGACTTTGTGTTTGTCCGTCCCTTTTTGTCCCAGTCTCGAAGAATACATATTGTCTTATTTTTTTTCTTGTCTATCCGTAGGGCAGAAAGTGCGCTCAGCCAGTTGTGAACAGGCGCTTCTATCGTCGTAATTTTCAGCGGTATAACTACTAAAAGGCTCGATATTTTGTATGTTAGGTAAGAGTTAACAGTTCATATCAAAAACACTGGATAGGTGGCGCAAGAAGCCGCCCAATTTAGAAGGTTCTGCCGTATCCATTCATCCACCCGTAGGAGCACCAGTCCGGCCTGTCTCCAGCTGTGAGCGTCCCTCAAAAGATACCCTCGAGGATCCGGTTGGTGGCTGCAGTTGAATCGAGTTGATACAGGGTATAGGGCAGGATTGGCATAGGGCAGGGCAGGATGGCGCGGGTCGTGGCGCACCTCGTCCCAGTCGAAGCTGTGGTCTCCCGAGCGGACGACGGTGCGCGCCTTGTGGGCCCGGTCCGTCTCGATGACGCAGTACAAGTCCCTGGGGCCCTGGCCGCGGAGGCCCCGGGCGCCCAGCAGGTGGAGCCACAGCAGCCCGCTGAAGCCCCCCGCCAGCACCGACTCCGACTCCTGCGAGCGTGGGACGGGGCTTCTTAGAAAGCTTCTGAGGGTGCGAGAGAAGCGAGGCCACGGCACACCGGGGAAAATTACAGAATGCTAAAAGCGAGCGTGCTGGAAAGGGCTTGCAATGTATGGCCATCCCCTGATTCTTTAATGAAAAAACAAAACTAAGACCTTTCTCGCAGTTATTTATACACCCCCTCTCCTCGACTGAAACTAACCGCCCCCCCCCTCCCCCCCCTCTCCCAGAACCTCTACCTTTCTGATCTTTTCGTTCAAAGCTTGTGGGAGCAAGAGTCTTTCACCACGGCCAGAGGCCGCTGCCGAATGCCCAAACTGGACAACGGCCGAGGCGCGCAATAGCGCACGTAGGACAAGCGCAGAAGCCTATAAAGGAGGGCACACGCCCACAGAAAGGAGGGAGAAGGACCGGCGGCACGGAGACGCGTAGGTCGAATGCCCGGTATTATTGTACTTTATTACAACCAACCCTTTGATATCACGTTAATAAATGTAGTTTCTCGTTTTGGAAACCCCGGCTTCGTGTTGTTCCTCCCGGACGGGCATGCAGCAAGGCAACCCTACCACAAGCTACAGGATCAGCCCGCGCGGGGGAGCCACTCGCCTTCTCCGGCCTGTACTTGAGAAACTCCCTAGGGTTGAGACACAGGGCTCTGTCCTCGGCGCACACGTAGTCGAGGCTAAGGGCGTGCGGCAGCCGCAGCGGGCGCGGGAAAAGCAGCGACGACGACCGGCCCATGGGACGCAGGGTCGCGGCCGCGCCCATCTCCAGAGCCGGGTGCCAGCCTCCCGCCCCTGGCAGCAGGCCGCTCGCAGACATGGGCATCATGCCGCGGTGGTGGTGCTGCTGCTGCTGCTGCATCTCCATCCGGTGCTGGTGTTGCTCCTGCGATGCGTAAACCCGGTGATTCGTTTCGACAAACGGTAAAACAGTCATGGCGCGGGTGAGCTGGTGTAGATTGACCATCTTTTTAAAACCCCTCGAGACTGGACGGAGAACGAGAAATGTCCGGAGTGGAAGGCCGAAGAGCAGAAAGACAGAGGCAACGTCTCAAAAACAGACGTTGCTTTTTGTCTTTTTTTTTTTCTTCTTCCATTTCCGAATTTTTTTGTTCTACAACTAGGCCCAGGTTGTTAAAAAAAAGTTGTTTAGACGTTTGCAAGCAACCACGCTTCAAAATCTACTATGAGCGCCAGTCTGGCAACAGTGGGCACGCCAGGCTCGACTATCGGACGATTTGCACACGCCAGCAGAGACCGTACCCGTAAACGTCTGTAGATAGCAGCGGGTTGAAGACTTCGGCGAGCTGGTTTCGCGTGTCTAAAGTTCGCGCTAGTGAAATTGTTCTTGTACAGCGAAGATATATGTGGTCGTACGTTAGGAAAGAGTGACCCGCCGCTTTGTGAGTATCCGTATAACTTATTGGCTTTGATTTTAGGTACACTTTGTCCAGCGGGGGCTTCCCCGCACTTTAGGTTTGCCTGTGGAAAAGCAAGCTTCTCAGGAGACCATAGCAACTAGATCTTTTACAAAAATCCGAAAGGCCGCGCGCAATGCGTGCAACGAATTATGGGGGCGTCCTGTATTGCTCCCCTCAGCATCTACCACATGACAATGAAAAGAGCGAGGAGAAAAAAGAAAGGGGGGGGGGGGTTCAGTGCAGCCTTTTCTGGCCTTCCTCCTCCCCATCATGTGCTTCAGTTGGCATTTCTTTCGTCACCGCAAACGACACTGTACTCTTTGTAAACAGCCTATTTATAAATTTTTACAGCTACAATTATTCGTAGTTAAAAAGGCTCTCCGCCTCTTCTCCTCGCGTTCCCTTCTGTTTGAGACACTAATTTTTAATATACTTCCTACGTTGTTAGAGTGGTGGACGGTCGTTTGAGAACAACGGGTTGTTTGTTCTAATGCTTCGTAAACACAAAAAGAGAGCACCTTGAATGTTCCCCAAGCTAGTCGGAACCCTAAAGGGCACATTCCAGTCTTGGAGCCTTTTCTCTACGCGGAGTTTGCGGCACAAGGAAACCGCGAGAGATCCGTTCGTAGGAAGGGGGGGGGGGGGGGGGGGGGGGGTCAGCAGAGTCTAGCGTGTGACAAACACCTTTCCAGCGCTTATCACCTAGGCGAAAAATGTAGAGTTACTGGGTTGTAGGCAGAAATACACAATTTTCAGAAATTTTGACAGCCGAAGCGAAAAAACAAACGAACAAGTTTCTCGAAAAGTTTGGAAGCATTTGCAAATCTTGGCAAGAGTAATCCAGCATTTTTTTTTAAGATACCGACATAGATGAACAACAAGAGTTTTTTTTCTGTCAGTTTTTGCTGTAATAATATATCTTTATATTATTTTTTTAAATATTTATGGGAGTTTTTTTCTCAATTTAACAAAGTTCAGACTGACTATCTCGTATCAATACACTCTTCATTATACAAAACGCTGTTTTGGGTTTACTGTAACGGTTAACTAGCAGCCATCTTTCGTCAATTATGATGTTATATTACACAAAAATGTGTACGCTGTGCCTGATATTTGGAGAAGAGAGCTACTGCGCATGCCCAGGACGCATAGCACAGCCCAGTAGACAAAGATGGCGGCGCCCAGAAGGCGCCTTTTTGGAACTGCGGTGCCCGGAACACGTTTCTCCGACTGGTTTGTTTACCACGTCCAGAAAAAGTAATGTCGATGACGTCATCTGTGACGTCATATGCCGATGACGTCATCTGTGACGTCATATGTCGCCACTTCAGGCCCACTTGCGACGCATATGGGCGGTATGGGGCGCTAAACTCACCAGTCGGGGATGCGGACACCGTATCGGGGAACGGCCAGTACCTGTCTGAGGGAGTCGAGCAGGCTCTCGGCGCTGTGGGCGACCCTGGGCAATGGGCGACGTGGCAGCGAGGCCGTGCCGCCCAGCGTGGCCCCCTGGGGCGTGAGCCTCCCGACGCGCTCGTACAGGGCCGAGGTGGACGGGGCTCGGCGCATCCAGGCCCGGTACTCAGCCGACGAGAACACGCCGGGCAGTGGGCCCCCGGTCAGGACGCTGCCGCACGGGGACCCTGCAGCGGGAACGGGCACGGACGTCGGACGAACTAACAAGAACCACGCATACAGAGGATCCACTCACTTCGTCCCAAGATTCCGGATATATTACTGCTGCCGTCAAATACGTTCGCGAGCAAGAGGATGTAGCATGAAATTCTCTGAGATGAAGCGTTTTGATATGAAAGATATAAGGATAAAATGTATTCGGGATGAAGTGCCTGGGATGAAGTGTCCGGAATGAACTGTCCTGGGATGAAGCGGTACCACCTGAAAGACAAGGCCTGCGCATGACGTCTTCCTTAGTGGATCCCCAAGTGGCAAACAGGCCGAAGCTCGACAAAAGTCACCGTGAGGCGGCAGACGCATCCGTCTTGACGACGCAGTGTGATAGCGTCGCGCTCGTCGCGGGACGGTGCAGGACGCAAGCTAGGAGGTGCTCCGCGGAACCACTACTGATGACGTCAGGGAGGGCAAAGGCCTCGTTTTCTAGGTAGTTTCAGATGAAGTGACTTCAGATGAGGTATGGTACAGCTAAGTGTGCAGCGAACCCAGCGGGAACTGGCGCGGTCTAGTGACCAAAACGTGAAACAGAAGAAAAGGTGATAGAATGTACACCGCTGTAGTTATGCAAAGGGAAGGGACACAGTCAAACCTAAGCATCGGTCTGCCTTTTGTCTCTGCTTCCCCATCTTTTCTAAAGAGAAAGACAGCAAAGCGCAGCTAGAAGTCGGGTCCATGCCCACCTTTGGGTCTCCGGGGCCTCCCTTGGGCGGGGAGCTCGGGTGCCGAGAGCGCCCCGTCGCTGTCCTCCTGGGAGTCGTAGGCGGCGCGCTCGAAGCGGACCCCGTGCCGGAAGCCCCTCCGGGGGTCCAGCACCCCGAGAGCCACGCCCCGCGGCAGGGAGTTGGAGCGGCCGGACAGCGAGCGGCCCCCCGGGGGCCCCACGCCGGGCCCCAGCGTGCCGGGCCCCATCAGGGGACCCTGAAGGGGCCGCCGGCCGGACTGCACCTGTGGCCATTGCATGTGGCCCCCATCTATCACAAAGGGGAACTCGTAGGAACGACAACCGATGCAGTAGAGCATTTTCAAAAGTCCATCGAGCACCATTGGCGGTTGTCATTTCTTGGGCACGAAGCGTGTGATTGGATCTGAGTTCACGCCGAACGCTGACGTCACACTCGTATCCAATACATGCTCAGGGTACGTTTACGAACAATGGCGGACAGGCAATGGCGCGTACTTTTGAAAAGAGACTATTCGTTGTTTAAGTAAAATGGTCTGAAAAATGTGGACTAATATGCCAAGCAGGTTTCCGAGAAAAAGTAGGGCAAAAAAGTAAAATAAAACGACAGGAAGTTCAGGTAAAACGAAGGGTTAAATTGAGACTAGGATTAGAAGCATCGTGATTTGGTTACAGAGGTCAGCGAACTTCGAAACGTCTAAGAGTCCGGGGTTTGCGTTCTGCGCCATACAATGTCGATCATGTGGATCTGCTTGAAATGTTTCGTCAATGGGCCTCCTAGACGACAGCGGACAACGCGCAGTGGGAACCTCACTGATGGGAACGGCGGGGAGACTCTTCAGTTGTCCCGCCTCCAGGGCGAGCTTTCCGCCTTCGATATTGTTTCGGCGTCCCGGCGGCTACATGCGCAGCCAAAGCACGATGGAAGGCAACGCGCGAGTGCCAAAATTCGGGCATTCGAAAGAAACTTGGTGGCGCTCTCATCCTGCCAGTGACCATATATACCGATTCTGACGTCAAGGCGTCGCTGCTGTCGGCGCGTGCGTAGACGATTAATTTCGAGCGAGTTTCTGCGCATGCGCAGTGCCCGTACATGCTGTGGGCAAACGCTGATTTGTTTGTAAGCAGCATGTATAGTGATAAGGTGAGTAGAGGAAAGGTCTTCCTGGCGACCGCGGTGCCCGTACCTCCGTGTCGGAACAGCTCTCCATGAGGGAGCGTCGACGCAGGATGCCTCCCGGTTGCTGCGGGTGCATCTGGCGGTGCATGGAGCCCGCTGAGGGCCGCAGAGAGTAGTACCGCCCGGTTCCGCCCAGCAGGTCCGGCTGCATGAGCCGCTGCTCGCTCTCGGTGCGGAGGAGCCGCCTCGCCGTCATGCCCCGGTCGTGCTCCTGCCAGTATCTGCAGAGGGTTCGGCCTTCAACGATACGGACACTGCGTCGCGAGACTTGGCTGAATCGCGGCCGCATAAAGCATCCGCTCACACCCATCCTTAGATGCGCGCCAAGTGGACCTGGATCTGTAAGCTACCGCGATTGGATAAATGCTTGCCGAATGCGGTTCAGCCGCCATTGTGACTTTATCTTTAGGGGCGGAGAACGTGTAATGTACGGAAGTGGAAGCAGGGCGTTCTTGCCGCTGCCATGCTTCCACTACACCGCCAGCTTAATAATCTACAGGCACCCTCAGCTAAGATCGAGTAGGGCGTTCTCAGTTCCGCTGACCAATTGCCCGTATGCAATCTGAAATATAATAATCGAAGAATACAATGCGTGATCAACCGACTGTGTTCTACATCACGGCTCGATGCTTCCCGGTGAAGTCTCTCGTTGAGCCAACAGCGAACTTTAGTCTGGCTGTGGCGTAATTCTTGCCCTCCCCGAGCGTATATCCATCGAGCTTCAAGGCGCGAATCTCAACTCTGCCAAGACGGTGAGCGCGGAACAGGTCCCAGACCTGTTCCGTGCTTCAGAAGAGCTCTCGAGACGTGGGCTTCCCCGGAAGGCGTGCACTTGTTCGGCGAGCCCTTCGAGTGTCCTCGGGTAGCGGTGCGGTGGCCCGCACGGCTCGGGCTGCCTGCGTACGGGGCTCGCATAGCGGGGCTTCTCCTGGGCCGCCCACTGCAGCTCCTCGTCGGCCTCCTGCACGCCCCTTTTGACGATGACCACGGGCGGACGCTGCTTCTCCGCCGACGGTGGCAGCGGCGGCAGCCCCCGTGCCGCGCCCTTGGACCGCACGGCCAGGACGAGTCTCCGCGGGATAGACATGATGATGACCACGTCGTCCAGGCTCATGTTGCGGACGTCCACGAGGTTCACGGCCAGGATCTCGTCTCCGACGCGGAGCAGCCCGGAGTGGTAGACGGCGCTCTCCAGGGCGATCCTCGAGATGAAGACCCCTTCCTGCGTCCGGATGCCGTCGCCCTCTCGGATGTACAGGCCCAGGGTCTGTCCTGGACGCTTGACGATCTCGACGAAGGCCGTTCCGCCCTGTGCGTAGCGTCTGGCGGCCTGGGCGCCCGCGCGGCCCAGGGCTCTGGGGTCCAGGAGGCGCACGACCATCTCGCCCCGCTTCTGCACGGCTTCGAGGTGCGCGGCCGTGGTGGCGTCGAATTCCCGCTCGACGGCTTCGATCTGGCGGAAGACGTCGCTGGAGATGCCGCTGACCTTGCGGAAGTCCCCCTGGAGCACCATCTCGGGCGCCGGGGCGCCCGGTGCCAGCCGCGGTCGCCCTCCGACGCCCACGCGAGGACCCCACGTCTCGCTGCCGCCTTCCACGCACACCACCAGGTCGCCCTCGTGGTTCTCCTGTCGGAAAGGGACCGCCAAGGAGCGCGGTGCAACGGTCAGTTCGAAAAGCATTCTTCGGGCCTCTTTCTAAGATTTACACTCTCAAGAAAAAAAGGGTGTAAAAAGGTGTATCGTTACACCGTTTGTCCCATATAATACACCCTAAAATTTCAATTCGACGTACAGCGTCCTACAGTCGAACAGACGGCCCGAAATTTCACGAGGGGCCTGATAGCCGTGTGGTACAACTTTTTAAATAGCTAAAGTACGCATCAAAGACCACATAAAGAAAATACTGAGTTTTTACAGTAGGGCCAAGAAAACCCCGATTATTTTTGTTGTTGTCAATGAAACGTGCATTAGCTATTTTAATAGGTTGTACCACACGGCTATCAAGCCTTTTGTGAAAGTTGGTACCGTCAGTGCGACGTCAGTGTGCTGTACGTCGAATTGAAGTTTTGGGGTGTATTATATGGGACAAAGGGTGTAACGATACACCCTTTTACACCCTTTTTTCTTCAGAGTGTAGATAAGCAACAATATCGCTGTGCCACGAAAATAGTTTGTTGCGGGAGCTTTATAAAATTAACCAATTACACCTTCAACAACACGCTTTTTTGAAAACAAACACACATAAACGCGAAAGTCAGAAATAAAGACAATGCTCTCGAAATATTTCTGAGATGTTTATAACATTTCTAGTGGGCGATGAAACATACTTTCTCTAATTTTCTTAAAGGGCAACTCCGGTTGTATCGCGTATCGCAGCACCACAGTGACGTCACGTCGCAGCCGTACGGCTGATGATCAGCGTTGCCAGCAGATAGTTTCGGTTTTGACGTAGAGGCCCGAAACCAAAAAAGAAAAAAAACGCACACACAATATCTAGGAAAAAAAAATATGCCTCGTAGTTCAGGGACACTGCTTTAGCTAAAAACAGTCGTAATTCAAAAAAAAAAAAAAATATATATATATATGTATATTGACCGGAGTTGCCCTTTAAGCCTTTTTTATCTGAAAGAACTCTTCGTGGGGCATTGGATATCTTAAGGAACTGATTTTTCTCAGAAGAAATGTTGTGCTCAACAAGAACTTCCGCGCTTGCATTAGTTCTCAATAAAAAGCATCGAAACGGATTACATACGCATAACCGAACTCTACAGGTGCATTCACACTGGCACTCGAATCCCAACCGCAAACCAGACCCGCTTATTTCTATCATCAAACGGGCTTGAAATCACAATGAATCTTTAAGCGATCGCGTTCTCAACCGCTTTGCGAACGCGGTTCAACCGCCAGTGTGCATACGGCATAAGAAAGATGTTAGCCCCAGCTGCATGTATTTCCACTCACAAAGGTGTTCATTTTCATTATATTTTCCCTTTAAGAAACACCAAAAGATAAGTGCTTCCCGTGCGGAAAAATTACAAGTGCCTCCCTATTCGTACACACACAGGTTATTTCACTTGTTTGTCATGTATTTTCCTTCATGTAACCCCCCTACAATAATGCCCCCTGGGCGATGTAGGTACGTGCATAAATAAAAATAAATAAATTGAACGTAAACTAAAGAAACTCCTACAGCCGGAGTAGGAACGTTCCTTGAAAGAAGTTATATACACGTGTCTCGTGTCATGTTTGCCGTGCGAACGAGCTGACCTGGGAAGTTAAAACACTCGCTCCTGTTTTCATTTGAGCCCAAGTAGCACAGATGTCACCTGCACGTCCTGTAGATGTCTACGGTAGGACGTCCGCGGAACCATATGTGTGCCACCAGGGACGACGTTTGCGTGGCAGTGCAGAGCCCGAAGAACAGAGGAGAAGGTGTGGAGGAGGCGCACCTTTTTGCGACCGCAGCAGAGCATCCTGGCGGCAATGATATGCTTGACCTTTTCTCCTAGGCGGGGCGGCGGGCGTCCAGGCGGGTGGTTCATGTGTGCGGCGGGGAGGCCTCAGGTCAGGCTCACACTGACGTCGTCCGCTCGCCGGCCCGCTTCCTGCGTATGCACCACACGGGGGCCTCACCAACGAGCCAGAAGGCTGCCCGCGAAAAAAGACGGTCATGTAGCGCAAATATGCGAGGCTTGCATTGACGCCACATCATTAGCCATTGCTCCGTGCCATGCGTTTGGGCCAGTACCTTATACTGCAGACATCTCGTACCATCGAAATTGTTGTAAGTTATTGAACCCTCGAACGGGATCTCTATGTCGCTTTTGTGTTCCTATGACCGAAGCCCAACTTATTTACTCCATCCCAGATGCGTTTTGAATGTAATTTTACTTACTTTTTTTTGTTCGGTATGGTGCGTGATTCAAAAGGATTTGCTTATGGTGGTTACAAGAAATAAAGAACGAGTGAGGGAAGCTGCTACGAAGTGACCGAACAGGTGAGCTGGTATAGTTTCACAATGTAGACCCCAGACAGTGGATGTATTTGAGACTTGACTGTTGTCCCTCTTCGTAGATAAGATACCGCATTTTGGGTCTACATAGTGAGCTAATATGAATATCCCATTTACTCATAAACCAACTAATGAATAACTTAGTGAATTAACGCCATAGCCCATGGGTCAACTCGCTCTCTGAAACATGAAATATTTGTTCACGCATGCAGGGCTCATACTTTTGTAGTCTGAACAAGACCGTTTGCTTTGCCTCCTTCTATAGAGCTATATCTTTCGCGTCCACTGTAGGTGGTCTACACAAAGGCACTTCCCCCGTTTGCTATTTCGAGAACCACCAAAAACAGAATTTGCAATGGTCTCTTTCCTGCGTCGCATGACCGAAAGCTGCCCTCGAACTGCCGTTACTCCCGTTTCAGACGTCGTTTAGACGAGAAGGGGTAATTAACCTATAAGGCTACCGCGTTAGCAAAATATAGCGCAGACAAGTAAAAGTACGGCAACACGTAAGACAGACTGTAATGTAACAACAGCAACAACAAAAAAAAAAGTGTTGACATCCCTAAGATTTTTTGTCACACGTTTCGCCACTTTCTTATCTATAACTCAGCTCCTTAGAAAGCCGAACCGGCCAAAAAAAGGAACACCGAAAAAACACCAAATAAAACGAGAATAAAAAAATGGAATTCCGCTGTAATCCGGAAAGAGAAGAAAAATCCCTAACGAGGTTAAAGGCTTTAATTTCACCCGTTAAGACATTCGGTGCGTTAATTACTTCGGGGCGAAGATAAAAATGAAAAGATCTGGGTACAGATTTCGAAGAAAAAATAAACCTGGTGTTCTGGGCCATTCCGTTTTATTGCTGTTTAACTCTTCGCGGCGGTGCGCAGTTGCTCCCGTGGAGAGGGGCAGGGAGCAGACGGATCTAGATCTGCTTCGAGACTATTTTTCCCTTTTCGGGGCGCGCGTCTCTCCCACTTTCCCTTCCTTTTCATCCCCATAATTCCCTCACCGCCGTGCCACAACCCGTCAAGGGTGCAACGACCTTCACCGGCATCGATCTATCGCTGCCTCTCTTTCCTCCTCTCCACTTGCGTCGAGTCACGTGGCCTGGCTCACCCAGTCAAAATAGCGACAAAAAAATAAATAAACCCAAGCATGGTGAAAGCGATGTTCGAAAAGCGTACGCGTGCACAAATAATTTATCCAAACAAATGAGAAGTATAGCGAACTCGGGGAAAAAAACTCGCGGAGTTTGCGGAGCACAATACCCGTGGCAAACGTGGCGAATTTCGACCGATCGCGATGTGACTTGTTCCAGCGGAGCGTCCACAAACCAGAAAACGTTCGAGTTCGAAAGTTACAAACTACTCTTTTTTTCTTTTTATGACGAGGTTGAAAATGTTTAATACGTCCTCTATGGAGCAACCATTTTTTTTATATATATACACATTTGTCAATACAAAACGCAGCACACCGTTACTGTTTTTTCAATATTTACTTTATGCGCAGTTCCTTTCCATTGTGTAAGGACATTTCGTCCTCCCACGCTTGAACTTGTAAAGTTCCGCAGTGTAAGAAACAAAAATAGAACATAAAGCAGTACACAAAAGCGATCCCAAATGAAGTGCATCAGTGGCGCCTCTGCGAGAGCGATATCTCTCATGGAGGGGGCCAAGATATCGTTCGTAGACGATTGTCTGCTAACGCGAGTGAAGGACAGCGTTTTCTCTTCTATGAGGTGGCATTCGTAGACGAAAATAAAACACGAAAACACTACGCGTCATGTGCTAACATAACCGGGGAAAGAAAAAAAAAAAACTGAATTATTTGCTACCAGTTAATACCAACAGGCAAGGTGATGAAACTCAAGCTTGAAATGTGAACGTCTGTCACCTCGCAAACAACCCAAACTTCCTTTGCAAACTAATGATGAAATCCACCAAAAGATCAAGTCCCCGTAAAAGTAATAAATCGCGGCAGCGAGACCTCTCTCACTATTAGTGTGTGGGTGAAAAGTTACCACCAAAAAACTAGCCAAAAGTAAATCGCGAACGAAAAAAAAAAAATTCTCAGTAATTAACACTTGCCAGAAAAAAAAGAAAGAAGGTGCGTTGTTCCGTTTATTCTTGACTCTAAAATCAGAGCCCTAGCGGAAGAGGGTTCGTAGAGAGCCTAGGTTCTCGTCCATGCAGCGTCTATGAGCAGCTTTGTAACTGAGCTAATCTAATAACGTTGGGATCCACTAAAGATGACGTCACGCACAGGCCTTGTCTCCTCGGTGGTATTGGTATCGATGGAGCGGTCGTAAACACTTTCAGGTCTAGGCACACTAATTGTTTAACTCTAGCAAACGACGCAAAACAAAAAAAAAAAAAAAAAGAAAGGGCAACACTTTCTTAATTTTAGTAAATACGGTGAGTGCTGTTGTTTTCTTTTACAGAGCTTTACAGTGACCGACGCTTGTGCGTGCGTTCATTGGGGAGCTTTTAGTCACAAAACGGGATTGGTAGCTGAAACTGCGTACTCACTTCAAGAAACAATCGCAGAGGTGTAAGACGCACTTGCAGTAAGCACAAATAGTTGTCATTGTAAAAAAAAAAAAAAATTATAAGCTAAACTTTTAATTCACACTTTTCGCCACAGCGAAAGCTGCATATGAAATTGAAAAACAAAATGATTCGGGTTTTTTTTTTTTTTTTTTTTTTTTTTTGCGATCACTTGCGTCGGAGTGAACAGTCATCATCCGTTAAACTGGTAAAGCCTCATCAAGATTTTGGATGCGCTTGCTTTTCTTGTGGTCAAAGAAAGATCAGAGTGTGAGAGAGACAGGTAGAGAGATATAACTTTATTCGAACCTTGCATGTCCGGGCCGTCTCAAACGTCAGGTACAAAAGTTTCTTTAGCTTGTCAGCAGCGGCCGCAGCACGCTGATGCGTCATCTAAGCAGTCTGCTACCATTTTGTAGGTCAGTCAACTGTTTCGTTCTATACAGAGCAACTAACCATGAAATAATTACGCTTACAATGTTTCTAAAAATCAAATCAGCCTGCGGCATTGATGATCTTAAGTCGGAGGTCAGACTGCTTATACATCATACAAAAGACAATTTTCCTTCGAAATCGGACGAGAGTCACCGCGAAATCCGAGCTTCGAATGCCGCATGGCGATGAGTTCAAGGAGAATCTTGGCCCACTGCATTCGAACCACGGATATTGCGGTGAGTCGTGTTTGCAGACTGTCTTTTGTATCATGTATGAGCATTGGGAATCCGGCTTTAAGGTTATACATGTTAATTAAATATGTATCTGCGCTTATTACACTACCTGCTACTCATATGTGTAATTGTATACTTGAAAGTAATATTTTTCCTGATCAAATAAAAATAGCGAAGGTTTCAGCGACCTGTAAAGGTGACTGCAAAAGCGACCTAGGTATACAAATATCGGTGTTTGACCGTTGTGCTGTGAAATAGTTAGAAAAATAAAATTAGCTCTTCGCGATTGGTTTCTTTATTGATTTTCGGAAAGCTTTCGATTCCACAAAACATGGCATACTTCTTTAAAAACTTAATACACAAGGTATATGGGGAAGTGCGCATAAACTTATCACAAAATACCTTACATCCCGTAGGCAATAGACCGATCTCAACAGCCAGTTTGACTACGCCACCGCTGTCGCAAAGCATCGAGGGAACTTTAGTATTTCTGCGCGTGCGATAACCTTGCTGGAGCTCTGCGCGTTCAGGCCACGAACAGTCTCGTGCACTGCCGATTGCCTCCTGTGGACTAAAGTTATGGCTGCCTCGCGCATGCGTCGAACGCTTGGTGAGATCGCTCTATTGGCGACGTGAGCGATCGAAAGCGTCGCTGTGGTTAGACCGATCTCACCAGCCAGTTTGAGTACGGCACCGCTGCCGATATGCATCGTGGGAACTGTAGTCTTTTTGCACGCGCGACAACCCTGCTGGAGGTTTGCGCGAGCAGACCACGAGGCAGCATGAGCTGTCGCATGAACTGGCGTCTGCCTCCTACGAACTACAGTTATGGCGGCGTCACGCATGCGTGGAACGCTTGGTGGGATCGGTCTATTGACTGAATGCCGACTATGGCGACAGCAAAGGATGTCTTATCGACGGAAATAAGAGGAATGGAAGAGCTTCCATTTTGACGGTGTTGGCAGTGTTGCTTTGAGAGCGCTATGATTTCAGGCTTCCACCACGCCATTACAAACACCATCGAACTTGCTATTCACAAGGTAATGACGTCACGAAAGGTAACCGAACGAGGGCGCCACCGAAACTTCTCGCCGCTAATACACTCTATACAACAGCGCAAAATCATCCACATGTTTTATAAAATATGGCGTTCTTCAAGGCTCAATACTGGAACCACTGCTTTCTTTGACCTTAGCATTATATGCGGACGACACAAGTGCGTTCTTCTCTGGAGTCAACCTTGCCGAGCAAGAAACTACAGCGATTTAATACTTACCTGCACTCTCATCCTGGCTGACAGCAAAAGTCTTAATTTAGAAACAGAAAAAAATACATTTTCTTTTGGTAGACCGGGTTATTACAAAGAACGTGGAACT